CACTTTACAATCGGAATTTCCTTCTTCAGTATTAGCAGTTGTGATTAACACTCTTCTAAAAAAAGAAAAACATATTTTCACAACGTTTAGGTCACGCACGTGCAAGCCATCTTGTTTGCCATCAGCTACTAGTAGTTATTTATATCTTACTAAGCATCTTACTGGTAGATATATAGTTTACAACAGGTGGTTCTGCTTTATTCGTTGGACCGGATTATGAGAGTTTAACCATACACCTGCAGAAGGCAGAAATCGACTTCATGAGAATTTAACTACACACCTGCAGAAGACAGAAATCAACTAAAGACTCGGTTGCCGGCTAGATAAATTATATATTACTTTATCAATATGACCTTTTTTATCTAGTACAGCGTTCAGATCTGTTTTAGCACCAGAATTAAGATGGTCGAGGAATCTTGTAGTAAAAAAAATTAAATTATCGTTGATTTTTTTCGATTATATTTTCTAGAAAAAAAAAATAGCGTTTTGAATATATATATATTCACTGATCGCTTTAAAAGTTTCCACAACCAGATTACAAAAATAGTATACATAAAACGAAGTACGGGGCACCTGGTGTGGATCGAAACAGAGATCGGAAGACTCATGGGAAAGAAAGAATATAAAAAAACTAGTTAGATGTGTTTGTTTGTTGAATTTCGCACAAAGCATCTGTACTAACTATCCCTAATTCAAAAGTGATAGACCAGGGGACAAATTGACTGGAAATTTCACTGTTATAACACAAATCACAAATTGTTTTTTTATTGTATAAAAATGTTAGTTTTAAAAGATCCAAAACTTTAAAAAGTGTGTCCTGTAACATGAAAACAAAACAGATATTTGGTTTTTGATTATGTGTTTTATATATATATATATATATATATCGATGACACTAGATGATAACTGTGGACTATTTAACATTATCTAAAACATGAAGTACAATAGTATGCATTATTATCATGCTGTTACATTCAGGTTAGAAATTATCACCTGCTGATATGTTTAAGTTAGAAACCTCAAGTTTCCCAATTGTTAGAAATGGCCAGTTTTTCGTTTTTTTCTACAGTTTATTAGTCGCTACAATATTCAATTTAGAAAATGCCCTTTTACTTCTATATTTAAGTTAGAAATCACCAGTTGCTCCATTGTTAGAAATGACCAGTTTTTTTTTGTTTAGGCTACAATTTACTAGTCGCTACAATATTCAGTTTAGAAAATGCCCACTTACTTCTATATTTAAGTTAGGAATCATCAGTTGCTCCATTGTTAGAAACAATAGGCTACAATTTACTAGTCGCTACAATATTCAGTTTAGAAAATGCCCACTTACTTCTATATTTAAGTTAGGAATCATCAGTTGCTCCATTGTCAAAAATTATCAGTTGCTAATAGAATAGTACTCAACTGACGAATTTATACATTCTGATCAATATAGTATTTTAGTTGTATTTTGTAATGATCTATAACATATACTATTTCTAGTCAGTTTGTTATACAGGGTTGGCTTTATTAATTTGGAAGTTACTATCTTAATTTTGAATTATATAATTAGTTTGGTTTTCAGCGTAAATTCTCAAAAATGATGAATTTTTGCTATCATCATGTTAAAAAAGACAAAATGTTATTACATTCAGGTTAATAAATTACTAATTACTTTTACATTTAATTTAAAAATTTTACCTTCAGTTGAAAAATGATCAGATACTGATTCCATCAGATTAGGTCTTATTTGTGACCACATTATCTTCTACTTTTATATAAATGTTTACATACATAAATTTTGAGAGTGTATTTCGAATTAAAATTTTAAAAGACAGTCATTGGTTGTTTGTCTAGTAAAAATGTACGCGTGTACACTTTAACAACAAATAAAATGACACTGAATGATTGGTAAAAACAATGGTCTTATTTTGATACTTTTACAAGATTATTTTGATATAATCACCAGTAATTTTAGGCTGATCGAGGCCTAGTGACTCGCATGCTCGGACTGTGAATCTGACGATTCATGGTTTGCGAGATTCGATTCAGAAAAAACAAACAATCTCTGCAGGTTGGAGCCGTTGATGCGTTATAAAAGTGACAGGTGAAATCCCACTATTCAATCAGACAAGAACAGCCAAAAGTTGGTGGTTGATTCTGTAAATTAACTGCGTTCTTTCTAGGTTATCATTTCAAAAATTAGGAAATGCTATGCGTGAAAATCTGATACAAGTAAACAAACCAGTAATTTTCATCACTGGCATTTTACATTAAACCAAATGTAGTATTTAAGTAGTTGTTGACCACATTTAAAATAATAATAATAACTTTTTTGTGTGAAATTCGCCATAACAGTCATCCGTATCCACAAAAGTAAGGTATTTAAAGTTGTTTTTTGTAATATATGGCTTACCGTGCAAGGAACGCCACTATAGCGAATTCATTCCCTCGTACAAAAGCTATATTCATTATACCCATCATTTTAAAATCTGTATCAGTATTTATTAAGGATAAAAATTAATTAACAATAAAAACAGACTACATATGGTACCGAAAATATCTTACCGTATAATGTGTTTAATTGGTTTTTCTTAATCAACGAAGTAGAAACATATTTAAGTCTAATAAGAGACCCATAGTGAAAAAAATATAAAGTTCAAAGCTAAGTACTTCAACTTCGTGCTCTTTTTTTGTGTGTGTTTCTTAATGAAATGTTTGAAAGTATAAACTATTGCTTGGAGTATTAGGTCGTTTTCTTATATACTTCAGATGTGATTACAACTAAGCCACTTAAAATTCATTAGAAAATAGTAAAACTTACGGTGTTAAGAGAAGATTAAAAGTAAGCTGGCTTGACTTTGTTTACACATTACATGAAACAAGGGTTTGTAGTCGTTTTAGTGATTGTCAGTCGAGGTTAAACCCAAACAGCTGAGCTTAACACCTTCCCTTGATGCTGTAAACTTGTCCCTAGATTTGGTTGTTAACACCCCTCCATTGTTACTGTAAGTTTGTCTCAGATTTGGTTTTTAACTCCTTCCATTGATGCTATACGGTTGTCTCAGATTTGGTTATTAACATCTTCCCTTGATGCTGTAAGCTTGTCTCAGATTTGGTTATCAACACCTTCCCTTGATGCTGTAAGCTTGTCTCAGATTTGGTTATTAACATCTTCCCTTGATGCTGTAAGCTTGTCTCAAATTTGGTGGTTAACACCTTCCCTTGATGCTGTAAGCTTGTCTCAGATTTGGTGGTTAACACCTTACCTTGATGCTGTAAGCATGTCTCAGATTTGATTGTTATCACCTTACCTTGATGCTGTAAGCTTGTCTCAGATTTGGTTGTTATCACCTTACCTTGATGCTGTAAGCTTGTTTCAGATTTGGTTGTTATCACCTTACCTTGATGCTGTAAGCTTTTTTCCATATCGTCTCAGATTTGTTTGTTGTTTTGATTTTTCATATCAAACACCATAAATATCTTCAATTGAAAATATCTGCCGTAATATTAGCTCATTAAATATATTCTATCTCATGCCAGTGTTCTAACATTAGTGCATTAAATAATCGTATCTCAGGTTAGTTTACTAATATTAGCGCATACAATATATTTCATCTCACGTCAGTGTACCAATATTAGATCACAGTATATATTATATCTAATTTCAGCGTACAAACATTAGCGGATAGAATATCTTTTTTATTTCATTCCATTGTACTAATACTAGCGCATTGAATGTATTTTATCTCACGCCAGTGTACTAAGTTAGTACATTGATATTTTATACGAGTATTACTCATCTCTAACCATTGCGTCTTGACTTTAACTTATTAGCCTCTGTGCTACTAGGTTTAACTTTAATATCACAAAGGTTTCAAAATATGCACAGTCATCCATAAACGGTTTGTCTTTCACACCATGACTGTGATGCTTGAAAGATCGATGTCAGAAAACTGAATTTCTTATGATTTTAATAAACCAACTTATGATTCAATAATGTCAAGCCTTTAGTGTCCGCTTGGAAATGCCCTTACGAACATCCTGGTATTTGTTCTTTTCTAGTATCGTTAAACATGTCACGAGATAACTCGGTATCGAGAAGACTGGATAAAGTAAGTCAATATTAAGGTTCATATAGACTTTTTAAACAGATGTTTATTAAGGTATTTAAAGAAAAAATTATCATGGGTCCATGACTTTCGTTACCGGTCCCTAATTACCTATGACTCATGCAAAAAAATGTAAACAAAAAACTCCATCAATAATGAAGTTAATCCCTATACTTAATTCTGGAGTGTCCAATATATTTTACAAAGAAAATCAGTGATTTCGCTCAACTTTTTTTTGGTACATTCTTTACACTAACAACTTTTAGAGGCAAAAACAAAATTACTCAATATAACCAATAGGGAACGATATAAAAACAAGTAGGTAATTTGAGTCATTCTTAAAAATGATAATAATCGAGAGCTCAATGATAAAACAGTTAAAGCAACACTGATGGAGAATTAAGCAGCTATTCATCAGTATAACAAAACTGAGGCCTTTATAATAAAAAGGATGAAGGAACTCTGTTGGAGAGTTAAGCATGGTTTTCAAACGAGACCCAAAACTCGAGCGCTTTCGAACAGTTACTATTGTTCTTCAGAAGAATGAAAGAGTTAAGCAGCTATTCATCAATATAACAATAACTGACTGACATAACACTGATGGAGAATTAAGCAGTTATTAACCAGTAACTAAAAGGACTAAATCAACTTTGATTGAGAAATAAAAAAGCGCAACAGTAATGAACGTTTAATATAAAACAACTAACTCAATGCACAATACTAATACCTATGCGACCTTTAAAATGATGGTCAACAAATATAAACGCGCTAAGAAGTAACATATCAGTAACTGGTTCAATTCATAGCAATTATATTTTAAGTGTAAAAATGCTGACGACCTACTTTTCCCGATATTAAATGTTTCATAAGCTACAAATTTACTTACGTTATTTATATTAGGCTTACCTGCTCCTATAATGTTGACGTCAGAGCGAAAGTGCTTTTGTGTTTGATAGATGAAGAAGCCGTATGCGGCCAGCAGACCAACGGTCAGTAACTGTGCTATCGTAGCACATCCACATACCATCCATCCCCACCCACCTTCGGGATAGTAATGTTGGTGAATAGTTGCTGCTTTGGGATTATCAGGAGACAAAGACAAGTTTAAGCCAGGGATCTGACCGTTAAGATTGTGTTGGCTGCCCCTTAGTCGTCCACTGTTACGTTCGTTACTTGCTGCGGCAAAGCCGAGATAATTTGCGGCACCGTGGGCATCCTCTACGCATGAGACGCTAGGTGCTCGGCGAATTTGCCCTGCAAAGAAAGCTCCCGCTCCGCGGCTGGTAAAATAGGGGCTGCGAGGGTCCGATGAGACTACAGATTTGGACCGGTATTTTCTTCTTTCTGAGAGAGTGCGCGCGTTACAATGACGTTCAGGGGCATTCTCCCGCGATGGGTTCTTGGCCAAATACTTGGCCCTACTAGCACCAGGAGTCAGAGGCTTGTCCGAGATGCTATAAGAGTCGGTATTGATGGTCAGCATGATGGTCAGAATAAGAACCAAGTATATGTCCACACATTTTGGAGCGTTTGCATGTTACCTCCTTAGTTTTAAAACAAAGAGTGCAAGTCAACACTTGGGTCCTCGCTTCTGAGCCAACTCTCACCTCATCTACTCACTGAAACAAAAACACGCACTGATACTTGGGGGCGCTACGAAGCACGTGCAGGCTCACTAAATAGACAGTGTAAGGACACATGAAACATCGATATATCGTTAAACTAAAACAAGACGGCTCACATACGAAGAAGAAAAATTATTGCTACTCAGATTCTCATTATCTTTACACTAAAAATAAAAATGTCAAGTCCGTATTTTTCTGATAAACACAAAGATAAAGTGTTAGTCCACAAAAAAAGTCCGTCAATGGTCTTAAATGTAAAATCCAGAATCTACTATGTCAGCTGCTATATATATATACACAGATGACTCAACAGCCACTTGATTCCGATTTTACAATACACGTATTTCAACAAAATACACACTAATAGATTAACTAAAGCTTTGACTTAGTAATTGTTCGTTTTAACATACTTATATATCAATTAAACCACAGTTGATGAAAAAAAAAATGACGTTACTTATTTTACTAAATCCTATCACGTATGCAGGTTATGCTGCCTCTCACCTACTCAGTGTACTCAAAAGTGGAGCAAACTTAGAACGTAGAGCTGTGGCAGCTTTTTACGTCACGCGTACGCTCGCAAACACTCAAGGTGTTTAAGATGTATGTTAATATAGGACCTGTATGAACAAACTTATATGGTAACTCGGGATGTATGAAGGGGGGGGGAGGAATTGAAAGTGAAAACAAGAGACAAAAAAGAGGAGGTTCATAAAATAAAGCCGTACTTTAATTGGGTTTCATTACTAACTGTTGTTTTCATCCATTGTGTCACTTAGTTTAAGTGTGGAGAAAACGAAGATGAAAAGTTAGGCATAACAAACAGATGTACCTGGACCACGTTAAAGTATTGCTTAAAGCAGTGTTTCTCAAAGTAGGAGCCGCCCCCCCCCCCTGGGGCCGTGAAGCTTTTTCCAGAAATGGGCCGAAAAGAAAGATGCTGAATTAATTTTAATTCTAAATAAACAATAAGCCGAAAAAAATATTTGAATTAATTAAATTACAGGATTGCTTCATATTTTAAAACGAAAATAAAATAACCTTACGTAAAATTAAGTGTGTATTTAATTGGTTAATAATCTAATTATAATGGATATAAATTGATAAAAAGGCCACATTAAGTAATAAACACATGATTTAATAGAAAAAATAACTTTATATATATATCATTAAAGTTCATTAGTAATTATTTTTTTAAATTGATAAATTTGTTTTTAGCATAAAACTCTTTAAATGCCTGACTTGACGAACGTACGATTTTCCAGTTATTTCGGATACAACTTTACTATTCATAACTCCAGAGAGTAAATGTGAGTTATTACATAATACATAATATCCAGAGCTTTAACACTATGGAAATCGTTCACAAAAGCAACGATGAAAGTTTTAAGGAGGTATACATAAGTCTTTTCACTACCAACTGCCTTATAGAGGAGTATTCATTAAATTTTTACCGACAATTCATCTTTGTAGAGGTGTATCCAGGATTACACTAGGAGGGGGAAGAGAGGGGTCAAGTCAGCTTGTCTTCGGAGCATGCTCTAATGATGCGTGACCAAGTAGAGATTTCAAAGAGCATATTAAAAGAAATTTTATAAGAAATTTAAAAAAATCATCCTCTTCTTTTTAAAAGAAAGATTAACTTTAAAATTGTATTTTAATGTAATTTTGATCATGAAATATAAAACTTGAGTCCTGTATTTGAGAATATACTGTATACTATTGTCCAATAGAGAAATTAAAAAATAAAGTGGCGGTGGGAGAGACAACCAAGAAACCACCCCATTGGATACTCTATTGTTTTGTGTTAAATCTTTCCAAATACGCTGGCAAGCTTGTTTAAAGTGAGTCATTCAAAATTTCTTGCTCTCATTTTGTTTGAATGATTACAAATTAAAAATACACTTCTTCATCTCATATTGTTCAAAAAAACCACGTAACTGATTCTGTAAAACAACGCCCCCAGTGGCTCAGAGGTAAGTCTGAAAGGCTAATAACGCTGACAAACAAGGTGAAAAACAAATCTTACGTATTTTCACCAACTAGCCAAGATATGACGTAATTTTCCATAGTACCACCACAAATGCAAATTTCTCACCACTATGGGCCTACGGAAAATATATGACACATAGGTTTAGGAGTACTTCGATTTAGGATTATGCTCTTAAAATGTAATCGGAAAGTAAACTGAAAGCATAACTTACATCTTCGAACTAATGTTTGAAGACAAAATGCAATAAGCCTTCAGAGAATCCTAAAACTAAGTTGGGAGACAACGTGATTAGTCTCATTACACAATTTATAAAAAACAATAGTGAGTAATAATGTAAGTGTTCGATGGTTTAGTCAAAAATACAGGTAAGTAAACTATGTTCTCCCAAACAACAAAAGGGTTAAGTATTATTTAAAATACACGTTAAGATTCTCTGTTATACCAAGGTAGCTGTATTATCTAGAAAGTTAGAAGAACGGGGAGTTTCAGTTTATAAGCATTTATGTAATAATTACTCTTTAAACAACAGTTGTATGATTTCAAGCTTTTCCAAACTATCGCATAATATCTGTGTCTTAAGTCTTTGGCTGTTCTTAACCGGAAGCACCCCAGTGGCACAGCGGTATGTCTGCGGACTTACAACGCTAGAAACCGTGTTTCGATAAGCGTGGTGGGCAGAGCACAGATAGCCCATTGTGTAGCCTTGTGCTTAATTCCGAACAAGCAAACAAACTTAACCGGAAATAAGCATTGTTTTAACCGGAACTACGAATACCTGACATCGACAGCTGAGCTACCATTTGATGATAATAATTTAAAAAGTCTCTGCATACATTCAAACACAATTTATACTCGTGATGTAAATTAAGCACTGAATTCCTGCTAAGAACTAGCTCTAAACTATTACTGTGTTTCATTTGCACAGTGAAATTCTTGGTTTTAGGTGTAAATAAAATGTGTTTTACGTTAGTTGTTACATACAACACCTATAGTTCAAGCCTACTGACACTCGGTTGTGTATCCAATCAGGAGGAGGGTGAGAGGGTTGCCCAAATATCCTCAAGTATTAGTCTCAAATCTTAATATTTTATAAACAAAATTACATTCAAATGCAATATTAAAGTTAATCTTTCTTTAGTTAAAAAAATAGAAGTAGTGATTTTTGTTCAATTTCTTGTAATATTTATTTCAATTTGCTCTCTGAAATCTCTGCATGCCCAAGCCAGCCAGATTTGTCCATCTGATTTGGAATATACACACCCTACCCGAGTAATCCTGGACAACTTACTGAAGCTATAGAAATTAAGCAAGATATCCTTATAACTGGCGAACCGCTAAACAGGATGTCACCATTCTTGGCATGTACCCTTATGAGGGTCGCCGTTCGAATCTAACCCGATATGTCGCCACCTGTTTTCCTGCGTATGTACCCTCAGGAAGGTCGCCGTTCAGATCTAACCTCATATGTCGCCACCTGTTTTCCCAGATATGTACCCTTAGGAAAGTCGCCGTTCAGATCTAACGCCATACGTCGCTCTTGGTTTTCCTTTTCCTATGCTTTTCTGCCAAACATGCTTTCCCTTTCAGCCGTGGGGCGTTATAATGTGAAAGCTAATCCCACTATTCGTTGTAAAAGATTAACCCAAGAGTTGGCGGTGGGTGGTGATGACTATCTGCCTTCCCTCTAGTCTTTCACTGCTAAATTAGGGACGGCTAGCGCAGATAGCTCTCGTGTAGCTTTGCGTGAAATTCAAAACAAAGCAAACCAATCATAGTAGCATAATCAGCATTAATCAGCATTTTAACATATGTATCATAAGAAACTGTAGATTATCAATTGTTTTTAATTAATTCATAATAGGAATATTAAGTTAGAAGCAAATCAATTAGTAAAAGACCACCCTCCCAGACTAAGCAGTAAATCTGAAGGTTTATAACGTAAAAAACGAGTTTCGATGCCCATAGTTGGCACAGCAAGTATAACTCATTGCGTAGCTTTGTGCTTAATAACAAAACAAACAAGTAATTATTAGTAAAAGTATTGGTATAACGCACCCACACCTAGCAGTAATCTTGCTCTCACTGAATTTGATAAGAATGCCGTGGTGTTTACGTTTGTTAAAGATCAGAAGCTGCCACAGTCAGCAAGTTGGAGTCAAAATGCCACAGTTTGCAAAGAGTACTGATAAGTGCATGGAACTCCATACTACTGGATATCATGTACGACTACAGCCCATAAGCCGCTCATCACAGCAAAGCATGCAAGATCATGACGCATTGGATATTACGATTGTGTTAAAGAACAACGGAAAACCACTAAGCGGAGTTATGAATCCTATAAGTAATGTGTACTTCAAATGGACTAGTTTGTGAACGACAGTAGCCTAGAAGATAGTTACATGATGACTGTGTCATGGTGTCATATTGTGGGAGACAATGTTACAATTCCTGCATTAACAGGATTATATGGGTAAACAAAACACCCCTTTTAGTACGGTCTTCTCCTTGTTGTGTCCAGCAATGGTTTGAGAGAAATACCATGCAGAATCAGATTGAGCCAGTTCAGAGTTCTGACGTAAATCCAAATTAGCCATTTGAAGGCATTATGGGACACTGACAGAAGAGAAATTCCTAATTTTCAGTACACGTAGAGCTGCTTTGGAGCTATATTTCGACCCTCCTCAGGAGTAGTAATCAGGCTTAATCAAGGATGTCTATCCAGATGTTCTCCTGGTCAGCTGTTTATATACCTTCTCGAAGTATCCATTGTTTAGCTACAACGTGAACATTTAGATGTTCTGAATCTGTATATAACTTTAGTCACAGTTTTAAAACTTGTAGGCCACTTATAGGAACCAGGAGACA